AAGTTTATGCCCCAAAACATGCTCCCATGAAAGGAAAAAGATGTCTTCTTACCTGGTAATGATCCTGAAAACACTGGCACGTGTTGTATTATAGAAAACAAAACTTTATTGAAAATCATCTTTCTTTGTATACAACGTCATTCAAGTATGTTTCGGAGGATGAAAACTTGATTCATTGAACCATTTTTAGACACTGATTCCCAGAGGAACCATATTCCTAATTGTTAATCCTCTTCTTGTAAGTCGCTTTGGATAACAGCATCTTCTTTATCTATTCTTACAGATATTACAAAATATGCTAATATCGGGCGGATAACATTGGTGGACCGATACCTTCCTGATTACAGTTTGTTTTTGTTTCATAAATTTGTCTGATTGAATTTGTGCTCATTCAAGGATAGTGTGACGAAGAGCTGAAAGACATTCAAAATATTTCACTACAACAACAAAAAGAAAAAGTTGTTATTTTAGACATCGGTATCAGCCCAGAATTTCACAAATGCTGCATCCTGATTATTTGTCCATCATGGAAACTAGAACTTTGTGGAGAATAAGGGATACTCCAAATTACTGTGAGATCCCTGGTCTGGTACAGTTAGAGCGTTAGAGTTATTTACACAAGAAACAAAAACAACATTAATCTGTGTAAGAGGTGGAAAAGACATAGGTATAAACCGTCTCCTCCAAAAAAAAAAAAAAAAAAAAAAAGAGATCTTCTGATTTTATGTTTTCCAATTGTTTATTATCTGTTTTGCTCTCTATCTGTCCACAGTATGAAGTATCAAAAAAAAAAAAAGATAAAAAAATATTTCAGGAGATTCCAGAATGACTCCAGACGGGAAGAGACTTTATCCCAGGGCAGCTCCGAGGGCCATGGTGACGGGCTGAAGGTTGAAGTGTGTCCCGAAGGAGAAACAGTTTCCTCCGCCACCAATGACGATCAGCTCAGGCTCCTCTGAGTCTGTCGGCTCACAACAGAAAGAGTGAAGCATCAGAGGCCAAGGAACTGCCGACTGTGGAGCAGACGGAAAAAACCTCAGTGTTAGTCCCGACGTGCACTTGACATTTCATCTTCAATTGTTTTCTGTTATGCCCCCCCCTTGGGGGCAGAAATGTTTTCACACCCTCCCTCTGACCCACAACTCTGCAAATTGAAATACTATTGAGAACCTGATAACATGTATATGTTTATCTGTACAAACCACTGTATAGGTTGCTGCCACCTAGTGACTGGAGGCTTGTTATCATTTAAGCATTACAGCAGTGGTCCACTTATGTCCAAGCATCTCACTGTGCCCCGCCCCACTATTTGAGACCTCACTGTGCCCCGCCCGGGGGGGGCCGCCCCACTATTTGAGAAGTACTGCTTTATCGTGACTTTGGAAGATATGTCACGTATAAGGTTAAGTCAAGAGATTTTCCCAAAAGTCTGCAGTGATAAATCCTCGGTACCAACAAAGGAAATTACAGGGTGTCCTCCGATTACGAAGTAATCGACTTGCGGCATTTGGTGGTTACGCGATTTTTCCAAAAATGTTATAAGAAATTCTTGTTCTACCATCCCGACGTACAGCATTAAAACTAATTTCGCACGGAAACTAGTTGCGAAGCGGAAAACATTGTCACGCAGCTCCATATGCGAAAGACGGCTTTGTTTACGTTGGCTGGCTGTACGCTATACATTGGATTACGCTACTTTCACTTTCTTTTGTTTGTGTTGGGGGTTTGTTTTGGGAATGTTTTGCCCTTCATTATGGCTCCCAGGCATAAGTCAGACTCTTCTGATGTATTAGTATCGGACATGAAAGATTTGTATCAAGCCACCCCTAATTGAAAATGGCAATTTGTGTGAATTTTTGAAAAAAAACAATTGTTATTACTGTACTGAGGTAGTTTGTTTGGAATGTTCACCAAAAGCAGCTGAAGGTTTGTAAAAAGTCTAAGATAATAAAGTACAACTGTCCAACTGTAGCTCTTTTTTGTTTCAGCCAAACGCAATGACGTTTAGCTAACCCTTATCCTAACAGCTCATCTGAAAATTATAGCCCAAATATAAACACTATTGGCAAAAACATTTCGTCAAAAGATAACTGAAATAAGCTGAGAAATAGCTCAAAGTACCCAAATACACATGTAGTGAGATGAAGTGAACATGTACAGCAGGGGGGTCAAACTCATTTTGGGCCACATACAGCCTAATTAGATGTCAAGTGGGCCGGACCGGTAGAATCATAACTATAAATATGTATATTAAACAATGTTGTATTTAATTAAATATAATTTCACAAAACATATCATGAACAGGAAGTGTTTGTCCATTTTTTTTTACTTTCAAAAAATCATCAAGTGGGCCGGATTAAACCCCCCCCAACGGGCCAGTTTTGGCCCGATGGCCATATGTTTGACACCCCTGATGTAGAGTACCATGGTCAATATTGTTCTCATAAGGTGAAGAGGATATCAAAGTAGAAAAAAAAAAAAAGAACGAACCGAGTCCAGTTGGAAGTCCATGCTGATCCCTGTGTCGAGGTCGATGACAGTGACACCTGGAACGTTGTCTGAGTGCAGCCAGACTCCGCCCACCACAACCAGCTTCTCTTCAATCACATGGGCAGAATGAGAATATCTGAAAACAAAGATGTCGGGTCATGAACAGATGTCGGGGTCAGTTCGCGGTTTGTCTCGTTTTTCCTGGTCCGACGTCAGAACAGCACTGACCTGGGAACAGCAGGAGGCTGAGTTTTTACCCTCTCCCACATGAAGCCTCTGTCGGTGGGCTTTAACAAGAACATGTCCCCCAGAGGCTGCCCTCTGCTGTCCAGTCCTCCAAACACGAGCACATGGCCCTGATACGAACAGGCTGAGTGAGAGTGGCGGGCCTCAGGAGCAGCGCCCTCTATTCGGATCTGTGAAACAAACACTCGTCATTAGATTTAGAAACAGAGCTATTTTTCCTGAAACCAAAGTAGGAACGGTCGGAGTTTCACCTGTTTGACCTAAGGTGTCATTGGAACATCAAAGTCAGACATGGAGATGAAAGGTGACGTCACAGTACCACATAGTATGTGTATTACAGCCGAAAATGGTTTGGCAATGAAGAGAAAGCAAAGAAATGGAATAACAAATAATGACAGAAAGAACGTACATCTGCCATTAAAAAAGTTCAAAAATATTTGAAGTTAAAAGTAAAGTGTATGTGTTAATAACAGTTTATAAAGAACATTTTCACAAACAAATAAAGACAACTGAATGAAAGAGAACAATGAGCGTCGCAGAGAAAACCGAGTCCAAAACATTTACCAAAGTGATAAAAGACTACAACATGGACAAATTCAAAATCGACCATAAGGACCCAAAGCTACTGAAGATGACCAGGGAATTTCCTGTCCAGATAGATGTAGAGAATCTAGAGGACGAGTGTCCGCCAACTGAGATCGAATTCCTAATGGGTGAACCGAAGTGGACGCAGACCTGGGAAACCGAGACCGGGGACGAGCAGGAGTGTCTCGCTGATGACCAGCCAACGTCAGAAAACTTGGAGCATCCCACAGAGAAGATGATGAGGATTCAGACCCTGAGCATAAAGGTGAAGGACGAGCTGGACACTCTTAAGGACGCCCTGCGGCTGCAGGGCGAGGTGGAACAAAAGAGCAACGCTGCCAAAGACGCTCTCCAGAGAGAACTTCTGGAGCTGAGGCAGGACAACTTACTGCTCAACAGACAGCTGGAGAAGGAGAGGGAGGCCTGCGGGCTGCTGCGAAACATGACGACGCGTCTGTCCGCCACGTTGGAGACGGAGACCAAAGCCGTGGAGGCTTTGTCCAGAGAGAAGCAGTCGCTCAGCAAAGAGCTTCAGAAGGAGTACAACCTCAGGATGCAGCTGAACCACGAGCTGCTCGAGTATAAAGAGGCCATGCGGCGGAGATACCAAACCGACAGATCCTGCACCGAGCTGGAGGCCAGGAAGATCGAGTCGCTGTCAAAGGAGAAGGAACTGCTCACCCTTGAGCTCCAGAAGGAGCGTTCCTGGAAATTACAGCTGGGTGATGAGCTGCAGGAATACAAAGAGGCTTTTCTGAGAAGATTCCAGACGGAGAACTGCAATCCTGACTCGGAGCCTGGAGACCATCAAATGTCAGAGAGCCTCCAAAGTGAAGTCACCAGGGTGTCTTCAAGGCTCGAGACCGAGACCACAAAGATTGAGTCTTGGTCCAAAGAGAAGGAGTCTCTCCAAGAGGCCTCCTGGAAAATGCCACCGAGCTCTGATTTGAAGGGGTTTCACAACGAAGGCTCCGCAAAGGAGAACTCTCTTTGTCAGGTGTTGGAGAGCCTCCGAAACGAGGTCACGAGGCTGGCGGTCGTCCTGGAAAAAGAGGTCAAGAACAAGAGCCAATCAAACAGGGGCGAGAATGACATGAGCGCGGCGCTGCAGCAGGAGCAAATCCAAATGATGCAGCCAAAGGTTCAGGCGTCGCATCAGAACGTGAGACACTTGCAGAAATTGAAGGAGTCCAGACAAGGTGGGGATGCGATGGAGGTTCAGAATGAGAGAGTAAAGAACCTGAAGATTTCAAATTTTTTGCTTAACCACCAGCTCAGTGTCCAGAGGGACATCTGTGCCAATCTTGAGGCTGAAAACGGCAGGCTCTCCAACAGACTGGAGAAGGAGATACAGAACAACAACTCTCTGGAGAAGCTGCGGGAGTCGGACGCAGCTCAGTTGCAACAGGAGAAAAGGTGGAGGCTGGAACTGCAGAACCAGCTGCAGAAACAGATGTACGCACATCAAAAGGAACTGGAGGCCCTGAAACAGTCGTGCGTCGACTTCCAAGCCCTGCACCACGACCTGGAACACCTGAAAACAACCAATGCTGAGCTCTCCACCAAACTGCAGAACGAAGAAGACCTCTGCCGTCACTTCCACGTTCTGACGCAGAGGCTGACCAGCTACCTGCAGACGGAGCGGAGGAAGAACAAGTGTCTTTCGAATGCACTGCAAAAGGAGATGACAAGGAAACAGCACCTGACCGAGAACATCCAGGGGGATAAAGACGTCCACCGACAGGTACTGGAGGCTCTGAAGAACCTGAAGGTGACCAACTCCGGAGAGGAGGTTGGGAAACGATCTCGTAACGTCTTTGGTTGGAGAAAAAAGAACAAGCAAAAGCAGGAAGAGTCCACCGGCTCCTGCTGTGAACACATATGTGGCGATTCCTCACAGAGGGTGACGGAGGTGGAAACTTCCACCACTCAGGAGTAGGCTGGTTTGAGTTCATTCATTATTTCACCGTCGAAAGCACACCACGTTGATACTCTCTCAATGATCGCAGAGGGACAAGAAACAAAACATGTCATCGTTTGACCATGTCAGCCATGTTTGCACTGGGGAGAAAGCTATGGGATTAGCATTTTAGCTATCTCTCTTTAGCAGCCTCTTTGAAAAAGTGCTTTTGGGAAACTATAAAGATCTCTTTGAAAAAGTGCTTTTGGGAAACTCTTATCATTTCAAGGTCAATTTTATCCAACAGTATCCTAATTTTTAGCACGACTTTTTAAACCGATTTCTGAACCAATAACTTTCGCTTTCTCGTTACGCTAATCGAAGTGTTAGCATTTTGGCTAACTAAGTGGTGGATTTTTTTTGGCTGACTATTACAGTAAGTGTTCATAAACCTTTCTATTTACTCACTTTATTTAATGGAAAACTTTCAGTAGTTCTTAAGCAATTTTTAATTTTTTTTTTAACTTAAAAGCTATTTACCAGCTATTTACAATTATTTAAGGGTCATTTTTACTTCATTCCAAAATGCAGTCGTATCCCTTTACTTTTTTCCATTTAAAGATAATCTGTCAATGTTTCGAAACAACAGGTCATTCAGACTCTTGATACTAACAGAATAAAGTCTGAAAGACGTTTCTTTCTGAAGGTGTAATGATCCTTCAGCGATGCCGCGGTATTACCGGCCCGCAGTAACGTCTGATACACTGGTCAAATTAAACTGGTCTGAATCTGAGAGAAAAACAACAGATAAATACTCTTAAAAATAAAAATGTCCTGGATGTTGTCCGTACAACAGAGGTTCTGCAAATGCTGAAAGTACATTTTTGAAACGAAATTAAAACAAGTAGACTTTGAGGATAAATTAAGACATTTCAAGGATGTTTCAGCCTGGGCGACAGATCTGTCCTTGATGTTGTCAACTGTTGGCTGGACGAAAACACTTCACCTTACTATAGTGGACACAGTATCCTGTTATGTCACCAAAAGACCAACTCTAAGCTGGACAAATGGCTTTGACAAACTCCACTACATACATATACCAAATATATACCAAACTATACAGAAAAAAAAATTTTTTTTTTTACTTAAAATTTGAGCATCTTTATTACAATTTTGAAATGCTCTCTCTTCTGTGGTCTCATCAGTCACCCAGTCGTCAAGGTGGCTTAAAGTGGCATGAATCAAATACAGTGTATTCATAAAAGGTTAAACATGAAAAAAAGATTTCCTGCAGTATTTTATTTTTAATCAACACATAAAACTGTAAGTTTAGGAGTTTACTGCTGTTTTGAGTATGACTGAAGTAATGACATAATATGGGTCATTTTGATAGGTTATGTTAGTGTATGATACTAGGTTAGAGTAACATGGACGTTACTAGAGTTTTCTTTATTTATGAAGGTTTATTATATTGAAAAGTTTTTTTTTTCTGGACTTTCCGGTTTATTGTAACATTTGAATAAATTTTTACTAAGGCATCTGTTTTTTTTTTGGTGGGTGTTTTGTTTTGACACGGGGCAACATGAATTCAGATTGCTCCGGGTTAAGGTCAGGAAGGTCAATAAGTAACTGTACATGCAGATCCGAAAACCTCAGAAAAATATTTGCTGAAAACATCTTGTTATTTTAGCAGCTAAGTATTTTCTTCTGATGTCTGTAGAAATCTACATTGTTCCTGGTCCTGTGCATTAGATAGATAGATTAAATAAATGAAGACGGATGGATAGATGGATGGATGAATAGATAGGTAGATAGTGTAAAATGCTGGGTTTGGAACAATATTAACTGTTTCTAATTAATATGAAACTGGGTGATTTTAAAAACATAGATATGAACTAATCAAACAGATGGAGAAGGTGCAAACCTCAGTCCAGTGCTGCTGCTGAAGACGTAGAAAGTGAGCGTCGCCCAGGGCGGCCTTTGACTCATTCTTTCCTCCAAACACAAACAGGAAGTCCTGACCTATCGAAAGCAAACCAGAGGGACAATCAGTCAAAGTCAAAAACCAAGGAAAAAGGGAGATGGAAACCTGTTTTTTATGTCACCTTCGTGCTGGACGACTGTAGCCGTGTGTCTCCATCTCGGCGTTGGTTCTTCACCTGTACAGTGCATCTGCTCTACACACAGTTTAACTGCGTCTCCGTTCTCGGAGAGATCGCAAAGGTCCAGGTTTACTTTAAACACACTTCTGATTGGGTTGAGAGGAGAAGAGCGACCTCCGAAGACCACAGCGCCTCCACTAGGGCAGGATGTGACGGTGTGGTAAAGTCTGACACCTGGGGAAAAAAATATGTATGTATTATGTGTTTTGTAATAGTAGTGAATAATTGTATTTTTCCAGTGTTGCCTAGTGCTTGATAAAAAGTAGAATTTGGGGATTTCGGGGATCCCGGGGATACGTTTAGATCTTTTTGTGAAATATAGGAGGTCCTCGATGTGCGTAGGGGTTCAGTTCCTAATGCCGACGTGACTCGGATTTTCTTCGTAGGTCGGAACTAACATATAATAAGATATCGTAAAATCAGGATTTGAGCTGTTGGACCTGCTACCTGGATGGATAACAATGAAAAATACTAACCGTTCTGTGCATTCTGGGACCTCCAACTTTGCAAATTAAGCTCTGCACGAAATGTAGGCGAATGAAATATCTGCAGCAAACAGCAACAGATAGTGTGCTGTTGAATTCTTTATTATCCTCTACAATTTGGTCTGACAAAACGGTGGATTTTAACCCGGTGCGATAGGGGCTTTGATCGGAATATGGCACGCTGGTCATAAGTGTAACACTGCTGTAATGCTTAAATGATACCAAGCCTCCAGCCACTAGGTGGCAGCAAATCATAGAGTGGTTTGTACAGATAAATATATACATGTTATCAGGTTCTCAATAGTGTTTAAATTCGTGGGGGAGTGAGTCGGAGTGGGCTGGGGGTAAAAACATTTCTGTCCACAAGGGGGGGGGGCATGACAGAAAGTAATTGAGAACAACTGGGTGAAACGTAACAAGAAAAAGACTTTAAGCAAAATGCTGACTATTTTGATTTTTTTTTCAACAGCATAAACTCTAAGTGTATGTCTTCATTGCCACCCATCGGTAGTTAAAAGCTAACACCTCAATGACATCAACAATACGGAGGTGACGTTAAAAAATAAAAGCAGTTATGATTGCTCTGACCTACATCTGCTGATGGCTCCACATTCCAGGATCTCCATCCAGTAGGACTTCTGTAAAGGACTTGACTGGCCGACCTTCTGCCTTCTCGGCTACAACCTCCTGTGATCAGAACCAGCCCTGGACTCACAGATGTGGACGCCATGCCCAGACCGCCCACAGAAACTGATACAGTCTTCACACTCAGAAGTGACTGACTCCAGGACGGGATGACAGGCGATGACACAGACACTTGACAAAGAGAAAACCCACACAGCTGTGAACACAACTGTCAATATGCAGACTAAAGTTTTAAATATAAACTTTCCAAAGTTATACTTGGTATGAAGTGTACCTGGAGGGGCAGAGAGTAAAGCCTGAGCTAGGGAGGAACCTCGAGATGCTGTCAGGATAAAGTAGTGGGAGCATTTTTGATGCCACTCCTGTAGGAGAAAAAAAAAAAATCACAAATTGTATTTATTTATTAGTGTGAAAATAAAATATGAAATGTAAAAGATAATGGAGGTAAATTTGTTTGGTTATTTTAATTAATGGATACTAAGAAATAAGGATGTAACAAAGGATCGCAAATATATAAAAAATGGACACTAGATGGCAGTGTGCGCCTAAAAACCTTGGTTGTGACCCCACTATTAAACCAAAACCTAAGGTTCCTACATAGCCTAAGTGACATTCAGGTGTTCAAACAGAAAGTGGGAAGAACTTCTTCCACAGAAACATTTAAAATGTTTTTACATTCTTTTGACGTTTAATAAATTAACAATCAGTGGGGTAAAGTCGAGACCAGTTTGACATTTCATTAGAGGACATAAATGGTGTCTCTGTAAAGAAATGTGAATTTATGTTTATTCTGTTATTTTAGATAACAATTTCAGTTTACGAGGTACACGAGACCATTTCAGTTGGTAACAGTATTTTGGACAGTTGCAAATAAAGGGTCATTGCATTTGGTCCTAATTTGTCTGGAACTCATTTTGTTTTACAAAAATCGTGATAGAATCATGTTGTGAACTAAAAAAAATGCTAATCATATCGTATCACAAGTTGAGTGTTTTGTTACAGCCCTACTAAAGATAAAAAATTATCTTAGAAAAATCGAATTGTGAGGTGCCTTAGATGGCAGACTATTAACAATCAGTCATTTCATTAGAGGACATAAATGGTGATGTGCAGTGTCTCTGTAAAGAAATGTGAATTTATGTTTATTCTGTTATTTTAGATAACAATTTCAGTTTACGAGGTACACGAGACCATTTCAGTTGGTAACAGTATTTTGGACAGTTGCAAATAAAGGGTCATTGCATTTGGTCAAAATTTGTCTGGAACTCATTTTGTTTTACAAAAATCGTGATAAAATTATATTGTAAACTAAAAAAATCATATCGTATCACAAGTTGGGTGTTTTGTTACATCCCTACTAAAGATAAAAAATTATCTTAGAAAAATCGAATTGTGAGGTGCCTTAGATGGCAGAGCCCTAATATAAATTATATATTAGCTAAATCAAATGTGTGTTGTGGCACTTTTAGCTTTCAACGTTTAACTCAAAATGAAGAGCTCATCAGAAATGTAGCCTTTAACTACTTGGAAACAAAATGGTCAGAATCTTATCAGAACAATTTTGTGGCAGCAAATATGATAGTTGTCATTATTTTGTTTTTTTTTATTTCACCTCATACTCATCAAAAGGCTCCAAGGATTCAATTCTTCTCCGCTCCTCCTCAGGAACCAGCCCGAAAAAGAAATCATTTATGTCCAGACACACACACTGATCCCAGCCCTGTAAACACAAACACTCACATTAACAAAGAGGTGAGTTCGTTGGCTGTTTACCAATTGCTGAGACTAACCTTTTCCAGGAACCTGCGTCTCTGTGCAGCCGCGTCTGGATACTGCCGCAGGGCGTGAAGGGTGGAATTTAGTTTGCGAAAATGTTCCTGCATGATCAGACCGAAGGGATCACACGGATGGATCTGCTCATACAAGACGAAAAGCGACTGAGGAAAAAGCTTTGCCGCCCATTTGATGACCTTGTCTGACCTGAGAGAGGCATTAAAGCAAACATTTATCAGGTAAATTCTTAATACATGAATAGTTTCTGTTTCTTTGTTGTTTTTACCAATTTGTCTCCATGTAGGTGAGAACCACTTCAGAGAGAATAAGAGTAGGAGATTCCCAGTCCAAACCAGCTGAACTCAGAGCCTCTTTCACTTGAGATTCTTCTCGGATGTCCAACCCCAAGAGACGGTACTGACTACTCCACAGATGCGAAGCTCCTGCAACAACACAAACAAAATTTGGTCAAATTGGCTTTTCCTGAAGACAAATTCTGTTTCATTTCCATTCTAGATTAGGTAAAAATGTGGCAAACCTGCAGAGGGTGGTAAATGCTCATCTAACATCCCCCTTAACGTATTATTATGCATAATCAACAAAGCTTTACGCCGGGCCACATCTGGAAAATCCACCTCGAACACTACAGTTTCAGTTAGGGCTTTTTCTGCATGCAGGCGGAAATATAATGAGTCAAAACCTGCACCAAGAGACAAAATCTGTAAGAGGAGGAAAACAGTGCATTAGATTCAAGTGTAATGTATAGTCCACATTTTTATAAATGGCACAGTAATGGTGGAAACTTACCTGTCTTTTGGGACAGCTCTCAGTCACCTGCAGGAACCTCCTCACACAATGGTCCACAGCTCTCCAGCGGACATAATAACCTCTGAAACGGAAAATATTTACAATTTTAAATCATTAACTCATCACTGACAGGCAGCACTGCTGTTCATTGAGTCCATATAGTCGACTGCTCTGACCTGTTGATGAGCGGCGCTCTCCTGACCACTTTACAGACAAAGTGCTGGATGAATGTGTCTTTAAAGTAGCCTTGAGCTGCTGCAGATGCTTTACTGACCACACTGCTGTCATTGGTTCCCTGCACCTGCATTACAACAAACACAAAGCGTAACAGTTCAGTCAAATTTATTGTGTGCAGAGAATTTCATTTACTTATAGATATACTTATAGATATATACTTATAGATATAGATAGATATATAGATAGATTATCTACTCTATCTATCTATCCAGATAGATAGATAATCTAATCTATCTAGATAGATGGATGGATAGATAGATAGATAGATAGATAGATACTGTAGATGGATGGATAGATAGATAGATAGATAGATAGATACTGTAGATAGATAGATAGATAGATAGATTATCTAATCTATCTAGATAGATGGATAGATGGATAGATAGATAGATAGATAAATACTGTAGATAGATAGATAGATAGATAGATTATCTAATCTATCTAGATAGATGGATAGATGGATAGATAGATAGATAGATAAATACTGTAGATAGATAGATAGATAGATAGATTATCTAATCTATCTAGATAGATGGATAGATGGATAGATAGATAGATAGATACTGTAGATAGATAGATAGATAGATAGATAGATAGATAGATAGATAGATAGATTATCAAATCTATCTAGATAGATAGATTAGATAAATTAGATAGATAGATAGACAGATAGATAGATAGATAGATAGATAGAAGGATACATGGATAGATGGATGGATGGATGAATAGATAGATAGATAGATTTAGGCCCCAGCAGCAGTAGAGCACCAAAACGGCAGTAAAAACACACGAATACGTAAAATACAATAAAATACAAACACGAGTAGCAGCACATACAGTTCATACACAATGTATGTATCGGTACAACACATAAACGTAGTATTATACAACGTATAATGTAAAAAAAAGGAAATGCATTTGAATGACTTCAGTACATTCACATAAATGGGCCGCAACACTGGGTGTTGATCGTTTACAGTATTGTTTATGGTATAGTTTATAGTTTCTTACCGCTGTGTCTTTGCCCTCTTGCTTCTTCCTATTCGTCGTTGGCATAATGTCAGGAAAATGCGCTAAGTGACCTGGAAAAAACCGTTAAAAACATTTGAGTAAATTACTATTGTGTAGTTTAATCTTCTCTGGAGGCCATGTTTCTTACAGCAATACGCCACCACGGAATCAAAATACTCAACTTTTTCCGGTTCTTCCGGGGGAACTTCCGGTCTGTCCAACTGCTCTCTATCGCCAACTAGCGCCTGGAGTATATACTACAACATACCACTACTACGACTAATACTAATACGAGTTATACTCCTTTTACTACAACAATAATAATAATAATAATAATAATAATAATAATAATAATAATAATAATAATAATAAAGGATATTTTATATAATCAAATCTGCTTGACAATCTACAATCTTTATTTAAACCTTTCTGCTTTCTGCGACATGTCATTACACTTTTACGCATCTGGTAGAAGTTAACCATAATTTTTATCAGTCACATGTATTAAAGTTGTTTACGATTTTGAATTTAAGTTTAAATTTCTATGCAATTGTACGGGTTCCAGGTTCCCACTGGTCGGTGGCCAATGTGTCTGGTCTGCTGTCTGGTAAATGCGGTTCTTCCACATAGATTTTGACGATGCGTCAGTCACTGCGCATGCGCATCGCTGTACAGGAAATGTGTTAAGGGTTTTTCTTCCTACCAGCTGAAAACCGAAAACTGTCAACACACTGAAACCTCAGCTCCGACACCGAAACCACAGTTTCAAACGGTAAGTATACCACTATTTTCTCTCTCTGTAGCCTTGGAAGTGAAAACACAGAACTAGTGCTTTTATTTCGACGTCCAAATGTGAATTCCTGGTTTTTGTTGATTCAGAGCTGAGCTCTGTCCCGTTAGCAATACAGTAACACAGATAGACACTGAAGATGAGATAACATTATTTCAGACAAGCCACGCGCACCCGCAACGGCACCGACCTGTCAGTAACGTATTATTACAGTAAAAAAAATACGATCATATATTATTTTAATATTTCTTTTTAAAAAGAAAAGTAACACTGCCACAGCAGCATTAAAAATAATTGCAGCATATTGCTACAGGGAAAGACAAAAGAGACAGAGACAGATTCATGTACATGTTATTAGAAAGGCACTGTTTTCAGTATACCGTTCACACTGACAAGTTCTTTTAACATAACGGAATGTTTTAGAATCTGTTTCTGAACTAACACATGTTGTTCGTCAGCTTTGTTCTGGTTACACTTCAGTTAAATGTTAATATTTTGGCTAATATTTCTCTTTGTTTGTCCATTTACTCAAACAGTTATGGTAAAAAAAAAAGCGTTGCTGACTTAACTATTTGTAGGCATGTTTAGCATTCTTTGGCCTAGTTTGGAATAACATGTAGCAGATTTCCTTCTGTGGGTTTCACCAAAATAATTGTGTGATTAGCATTAAAAAAACAACAACAACGACAACAAAAATAACATTTGTCTATGTTGTGGTAGATTGTCGGCCATTAAGGTACTGGTATTTTCCTGTTTTAATTGCAATGGGTCAACTTGATTACAAATTATTTGAAATATTATACATTTTTGTTATCCGTCAAGATACACCAACCTATTCTTTTATTTTGTAATATTCAAGTAATCTATTACGTGCTCAGTTCTCCACATTCTACGTGGTTACTTACTCCATCTGCACTTGATCAAAGACTCTTTTATCAAAGCCTCAACAGTCCTGTTGGGCAGCTAATCTCAATTTAGCAGCGGTTCATTGTCAGGATCAGAATTACAATAATCTTTATTACATTATAAAGTCCTAATAATCTGCCTTTTAATGTCTTTACACAGACAAAACAGAGAAATAACAGGCTGTGTACACCAAGAGTGAACTGCAGTCAGTTTTGTTTTGGGAGGACAGTGACCGACTAAAAGCCCCAGTGTCCTCTGCGGAGGAGGCCCAGTCCTCACCGTCCCGTCTGCTACTTGGGCCACTATGAGCACCAGAGGGAGCGGAGGCCGCACCAATGGTTCTCTGCCGCAGACCAAGATCTGCCAGTTCAAGCTGGTGCTGCTGGGCGACATGGCCGTGGGGAAGTCCAGCCTAGTGCTGCGCTTCGTCAAGGGACAGTTCGATGAGTTTCAGGAGACCACCATTGGAGGTGAGGACGATCGAAACAACGCAGTGTAAGGAAGTGCAGGGGGGGGAATTTAACAACGTACATAATAAGCATTTAGCAAATTGATCAGTTTTTTTTTATATATTTTTCAGCCAATACTGCCGATGTTTGATTATTGCTTTTCCGGCTAACACTCAGATATCCTGTCAATATACCACATCACCCTGTTGTCTGTTATCTATTCCCCCTGTCTAGCTGCATTCCTGGCCCAGTCAGTGTGTCTGGACGACACCACGGTGAAGTTTGAAATTTGGGACACCGCAGGGCAGGAGCGATACCACAGTCTGGCTCCTATGTACTACCGTGGAGCCCAGGCTGCCATCGTTGTCTTTGATATAACCAAACCGGTAAACTTTTTCACCTACCAGGAAATTGTGTCTTGCTGCATAAAGTGCACATCAAAAATTTTGTATTGTAACTGTAATGTAAATTAGCTAAAGAGCTGAGGGGTGTTTATGGATATGAATGATTAATTAATGAAATTATAAAGCAGGCATGGGCAAACTAAGGCCCGGGGGCTGGATGCGGACCGTTCAGCTTTATAATCCAGCCCGCCAGATTTTTCCAAATTATGGAATTTGGGTAAAAAAGTTCTCTTAGGAACAATACCCAAAAGATTCTAGAAACTATTCTGATGAGGATCACAACGACCCATCGATTTTTCCAAATTATGTAATTTGGAAAAAAAAAAAATTAATGAAATTTATATTATTTATTTAAATAATCATTATACGTCAACAGAAGAGGTGGGCTAAGACACAGCCTATCACCCACATATAAAGTTCTCTTAGGAACAATACCCAAAAGATTCTAGAAACTATTCTGATGAGGATCACAACGACCCATCAGACTCCTAACTGTCCGACTGTCTACACTTTCCCAGTTGACCCCAACGGCCCACCCACCCATGAGGGAGCTGAAGTAGTTTTATTCTTTGTCACACCTAGAGTAGATATTTGCTGTACTCCCCACCACCGGTTAGAACTGAAGAAGCCTCTTGAATGAGAGGCGAAACGTCTTCACTGAGAAAATTTCACATCCAGGTGCCTAACAGAACTCTTCAACCATTATACTTCTGCCTTTTCTCTGCAATACCCAGGTTTCCCCAATAGGTGGCGTGGAAAATTATTAAAGCATTTTAGTCTTTATTCAGGACTTTTACATGTCATTTGTCAATTTTAGTACAATTGTGACCCGCAAGTCAAAGAGTTTGCCCATGCCTGTTATAAAATATTTTTATAACATCATAAGTAGTGCCGTTTTTTTTTACATACCTTTTTCTTTGTTTGTGTTTGTTTCTGGTACGTTTGTGCAGGAGACGTTTGAAAGAGCCAAAGCCTGGGTGAAGGAGCTGCAGAGACAGGCGAGTCCCAACATTGTTATCGCTCTGGCTGGAAACAAGGCCGACCTGTCAGAGAAGAGACTAGTAGAATATGAGGTAACGAGCAAAATGGTGTCATCAGCGTTTATATTTCACATAGTTGTCCTAAGATAAGAGATGGATGTCCTCGGGTATGAACACCGATTCAGTCACATTCAAAAGATAGTAAAGAACGTGTAGATAACTATGTCAATACGGTCTGTGATCTACAGTACACGTCGCTTAGCATAAAAAAAACCATTTCGTTTGTTTCTAAAATACCTTTCCTTTAAAGCCGTTTGTCAAATAGCAGAAATTTGCATAAAACAAGAATCCCGAGACTCCAGATCACAAGACGACATGTCATAAAAAGTGTGAATGCTGGCTTAAAGGAACTCTTCTTGTAAATTAGCTGCAGTCTTTATTAACGGCTGAGGTTGACGTTGTTGTATGATGTCATCAGAGCGGCTGGCTGATGTCCGATATATGCCCATACAACAGGACGGTATAACTGGATTGTCGATGCATTTTTAGAATAGGCTTAGACGTGGTTTATCGTCATTGCACAAAAAAACAAAAAAAAAACAGTGAGTCTGGCAACGAAAGGTCGTTGCCTGGCAACCGGAGTACACAGTACACAACTTGTAGGCCATGAGTAATTTGAGGTATGGCTATATATATATATATATATATACATATACATATATATATATATATGTATGTATATGTATGTATATGTATGTATATATGTATGTGTATGTATGTATATATGTATGTGTATGTATGTATATATGTATGTGTATGTATGTATATATGTATGTGTATGTATGTATATATGTATATATATGTGTATATATATGTGTATATATATGTGTATATATGTATATATATATATATATATAACTAGTGCAAAACAAAATTGTGCTAAATAGAAACTAAAGGTAAATATACATAAAAACATGGTGGAAGTGACAAATGTAAACAGTCCAAGAAACTGTTTCTGAATCTTGATGTTGAATTGTCTGTTGTTATTGCTCATGTTCTGTCTGTTTTTTGTTGGTTTTTTTGCAGGAAGCGCAAACGTATGCTGAAGACACCGGCCTGCTCTTCATGGAGACGTCTGCTAAGACAGCCATGAACGTCAATGAGCTCTTCCTGGCCATTGGTGAGCTATTGTCACTTTTAATGCATTACCGTTACCGATGTTCATAAACACATGTTGGTCCAGCTAAAACAACACAACGGTCAGAACGCATTTGGGAGACCGTGCATGTCCACAGCAAAGTACTGTGAACCTAAAAGCATCAAGAAATACTTTGACAAGTTTTTAAAACTTGTCAAAGTACCTAAAAGTGAACCTAAAAGCATTGCAAGCAAGAAAGAAAACAGTGAATTCTATCCCCTTTTACTTAAACAGCGAGACAAAGGACATGAGTCATGCTATGAAGCTGCTAATCAGTTTGTGGTCAATAGTATTTTTACTATTTTTTTATCTCGTACAAACAGCGAAGAAGATGCCAAAAACAGACACCCAAAACCCGACACATGCAGCACGACATCGTGGAGTCAATCTGCAGGACCCCGATGCCCACTCCACCCGAGCCTGCTGCGGAGGAAACTAGACCCGAACCGCAGCAAAACCAAAACCCTGGTACCCCAGCATCCACACCACCACCACCGCAGACCTACAATCGTCCTCCCTGCCCTTTTCACTCAACCTGAGGGCGTTGAAGAGAATCCCAAGCGTCTCCTCACCTAACACTCCACTCCCCCCTCCAGTCATAGAAACGAGGCAGAAGTTGAAGAGGAAAGACAGAGAACGTTGATGGAGGGGAAGGGATTTCCATCTCACAGGCGGGTTTTCAATTCCAGACGTAATATCAGCAAGATCCGACACTAGTGTGAGGTTGGTGTGTAAATATTGGGAAATAGTTTGCCTAAAAAAAAAAATTGGGTCACTACAGAAGGATTAACAGCTACAGCCTGGTGTAAATAAAGAACAAACATTCGTAGGAGTTATGTTTTTAAATTTGTTTCACCATTTCTAATTTATTTCATCCCCGACTTCCCCCACCCCCATTGTAAAAACCTCCATATAAATTACTTCCAATGTTTCTGTTCAATTTTCTTCAATTCAATTTTTATCCCGCACATATTTAACTGACAGCTACTCATAAGGGAAGGTACTGTGTTACAACGTTGAAAAAAATACAAACAATGGTAGAGCTTTCTCTAAAGTCGTGGGGTTTGGCCCCAAACGTAGCTGAGAAGGTTCCAAACTTACAAAATATTCCAGTTCAACCTAAACTACATTTTAATCACCGGGTTGCTGAAAATATTAGTGTTAAAGTACAACATTGTTAGCTGCCTGCAATTCTAGTGTTGAAAGCCCGGCGCAGATTTCACACGAGACCTTTGACCCATACGTTTGTCTTGTGTGGCGGCTGATTATTTTGTGGAGCTTCAACTTGTCATGGCACCGTTGGAAGCAAATGTAACGAAATCCTGTTTTTTGTTCAATCAATCAAACAGGTTTGTTGCAGGTAAATGTCTTTAGGTATATTTCAATTTCCTCATTATCATCCAGGTGTTGAAGGCACCGGGATACCAAGGCATCTGAAATATTGTTGGATTTTTGGAGTCAAAAGACTCTGGAGCTAATTATCTGGAAGGCTGCCGAATGTTGGAAGTGGCATGAAAATCTGTTTGGAAACGTAACAGCGCTAGTAGAGCGGGGTGTTGCATTATTGAACACTGATTGAAACCACTTCCATTGCTGTGTTTGTGTTTAAAATAAAAAAAAAACAAAAAAAAAACATCGTGACAAAGTAGTACCACATTACATGAAGTTTAGTGACTGCCAAAAATAAATCAACACACAGAAATAACCCATCAGGGGGTTTTAAGTGTGTTAACACTTAGCGTCCTGAAACCCCCTGATGTCATACCAGATCGAAACCCAGACACTTCAATCAAGCAGTATGTCAAATTGTTGTTCTGTTTTGACTCCCTCTCCAGAGTCACCGAGACTCTTTCAAGGCACACTCAGAAACTAAACAACCAAACTCAATTTTAGCACTCTGTTGGAATCCACATGGTTTCTGTCAGCTGTTGCAAAACTGGCGTAATGGGGCAGAAATAGCTACATGTTTAAAATAAAATATCAGAACACAACAAAAAAAAAAAGTCTTAAAAATGCATTAATACTTAAATCTCAAGGGTATTTTTTAACCACAAATTTTACACCGCAACACAAAGTGGCCACTGCTGCTTTCAACAGTAAGTTAAATATATTATTACGCGAGATTAAAAATCGCATATTTGAATTCACCTCAGTGACACTTGCCGAAGATGTAACACAGCAGTGAAAGCAGCAGCTTCTGTGTCTTTTTTTTAAGCTAAAATTTTCTCCATGGATTCGTTGACAGTTTAAAAAAAACAGTTTAACAGATTAAGCAGCAACTTGAGGAGCAGGCATACAAATTTGAAAAAAAAAAAAAAAAAGACATTTTATCAAGCTTCTTACCCTTTCAAAGATCATCAGTTATCAGTCAACGGTGATGGCGCATGGGTTCAGTGTTCTTTAAATGTTAAAGATTGTAAAGTGTTCAGCAAATCTGTAAATGAATGTGGGAGAGGCTCTGTGGCTAATAAGGAAGGTATTGACAATTTACTCATGAATACGAAGATAAGGGTGGGTGCAACTTCTTGTCACTTTACAGTCTCTTTAATCGTTGCTCTTGTTTTGGATGTTACACATGTATAAAAAAAAATAAAAAATAAAACACAGAACTCCAAAACAAAAATCTGTTGTTGTCTAAAAATTTTATCGGTTTAATAAAATACATTTTTTTCTTTAAAAAAAAAATCAATCAGAATTGAAACAGAAAAACATCTGACAGCTGTGATTTTGTAGAAATAAAAATGTACTGGTTCAGTCTGCTTCAGGTATTTTTAAGGATCAATTTGATATTTGTTTTTAACCCTTTCCCCCCCATGTTATCAGATCTTACACTACATGTATGACTCCAGGAGAATATTTTACACTGTAACCATGACAAGTAATATAACAAAAAGGCCTATTTTTCTCAATCACAGGTCCAGATTAATCATGAATGGAACTTAAAATGTAAAATTTAGTCATCTTCATTTTAATGGTAAGAGACCTCGTTAACCAAAAAGTTTACTTTCCCTTAAGGATTAATTCATGATTTTAATCAATAATGTTTGTCTTTTCTTTAAATAAAATAAAGCTACAGGGCACAACGGAAGAATAATTTACTGCCTTGAACCAAAGTCCATTGAGAAAATCAGAGATTATACAATAAAACATTTATTTTAGTTGTGGAAGAAGCAGTGGATCAACAACATTTGTCGTGCTCTGACATAAAATTGCCAAAATTTCAGCTTATATAATGTTAAAAAAAATACCTCATATGAAGTTTGTCTGCTTCCATTGCTTCCTCCGTCACTAAGTTCAAATGGGTTCACTGATTTTTCACGGACTTTGGTGAAGGAAATAAACTAATTTTTAGGTGGCTGTCGAACTGCGCAAAACAAAGTTGTCAAAATCTTTAAGGTACAGCAGACGCTGGCTGGATCAAATTCTGATAGGTTGTCACTTCTCACAGTCGACAACTGTGCCTTAAGGGTTTTGACCACAGAGGGCGCAGGCAGCACAACCAACGCTGACTGGGAGTCCCAACCATATAAAATGAAGCACCAGAACAAACTTCCTTTAAAAGAAAAATAATGTAAAACACAATAGAAATATCAGATTGCTATTGTTCGTTTGATTTCAAAATAGAAAAATCTGATTCTATTCAGACTGAAAACCTTGTAAATTACCCCACACTAAGTTGACATCAGTAAGCTGGTATTGTTGACTGTAGAAAAGTCCGGCTGTAAATTCATAAACGAGCCTTTCATAAAGCAACAGAAACTAACAGAGTCCTCACCTGTGTGCCTCTTGTTTTAATTTTCACCCTCGTCTTCCTCGTCTGCTGCTGCGTAGATCACCTGATTCCTGCGCTTGATTTTGGGAATCGTTTCCCTGCTGCCGGAAACTGCCGTCTCGAGACTGGTGCGTTTTAGGAAACGTGCAGGAGACACGTCCAAATCGTCACAGAGCTCGCCCTTATCTGCAGCCGATTCACAGAGACTGGATGTCGGGGTGGAGTGTGACGGAGGAGGCAGGTTCATGGAGCAAAGATGAATGGGTGAAATGTCAGCTTTGGGGTCGGGTAAAATCATGCGGCTCGGGGTGTGGACTTGAGGTATTTTATCGCCGCCTTTCGCCACCTCAGCGTCTTTCTCCTTTTCGTCCCCCTCCTCTTCTTCTTCCCACTCGTCCTCTATTGTGATCTCATCGGGATTAAACGAATTCGACAGTCCTGATGTGTCAGTTGGATACTCACTGGGCTCTTCTCCGCTGCCAAGGCTGTTTTCATCTTCGTCCTCATCCTCTTCTCCTCCAGTGCTGGACTGGAGTTTCTCAAGTTCATGTCGTCTCTGTCCAGCCTTTGCGTAGAGATCCGAGAGTCCAAGTGTGGCACAAAGCTCCGTGGTCTGAGGGTTGGTGTTAAAGCTGGCTGTAGTTTTAGGCCGAGGGTTGTTTGGGTCATAGGGTATCACTGTGCGGCTGAAGTTTTCTGGAATGGCGAGTTCACCATTCAGGTCCTCCATCACCTGCATCATGTCAGCCTCTGAAGCTGAGAAGTTCCACCTGACAGACGGAGGTGAAATGTCAACCACAAATGCCGAGTCATTTTTGGACTTTTTTTTGGACAATGTTCGAATTTAACCCAACGCAGGATGAACCTCAACATTAACCACGAATATTTTACGAATTATTTCTTGCTGGTTTTCATGATTTTTCAAAGTAGGCTTTTTGGACCTTGAAATATATTTCTTTGGAGACGACTTTTGGGGTGATTGTTTTATAAGCCATCTCCTTTATAATGAATAATAATTTTGCCTTAATTGAACTTACATCAATGCTAACTTCTAGCTAGAAAAGAAAATTCTCACTCTTGACCAATGTTTATGTTTACGTCTATAGTTTTCCTCTTTACCGCTCATGAAGGCCGTTGTTTTCTGGTGGGTTCCAGGGGTATGGGTCGGTCCTCTGCAAAATGTTCGTGGATTTTAGGATAGCAAGCCATTCGGGATCGTATTCAAGACCCTCGGAGGAACCTGCTCTATCGGGAACATCCACAATCTGTCACACAAGAGCCTAAGTTATTTAAAAATTCAACAAAAGCTTTGGGTCCGAGGGGATCAAGTCAAAAAAAAAAAAAACAAACAAAAAAAAACATCCTCTCACCTGTAAAAATTCCCTGTACGGCAAACACTTATCCAGAGACAGGAACTTGGTCACTCGTGGGGCAGCGTTACCTTTAGGCTGCAAAGAGAAGTCACTTGGTTGAGTAAATGGGATAAGTATTTGAAATGTTGTCTTCTGAAAACATCAAACGTCTCACCGGATGCTGCATCACGGCAGCAAACTTGACGTGAAGATGAGCAGAGAACCAGTAGTTTGGTTGCAGGTGGCCCAGCAGCTCTTCAGCTGCAGGACTTCCCAGAAGGTTGGACTCCACTTCCTGGCGCAAAAACTTTTTCTTACGCAGCAGTTCTCTTGTGTTTCCGTAGTGGTAGATTCCACGAGGCCAATCATGGCTCATGAAAATGTCTATAGGCATCTGGATCTTAGTGGTGTGAAAAAAAAAACACACACAATAAAAAAATGTAGTCATTCAGAATAATGGTTGGACAAAGCATAGAAATACCTAATATTGTTCACAGCTAAGTCACATGTGTCCCAAAATATGTTTGTAGAACAATATTATTTGAAGGTATTAAGTTGGTTTAGTGTTTAAAAGTTTCGCAACGCAGCTGAATGGCTTCATCCCCACAGATTGATGTCCTTCCAGTAGACATTTCTTCTTACATCTCCTTCAACATTAAATGTAAAACCTATCGAGGATCAGAAACGTAAAAAAAAATCTATCTATTTCCTAATTATTATCAATTGTAGGAGCGAAAATATTGCTGAACAGACTGCTGTTATTGTTGTATTTGCATTTTTCCACATCTCACTATGACCCTTTCTAATTTTATGTGAGCGAAGCAAGCATGGCACCAATTTAACCAGAAGAAGAAGAAAAACTGGTTTGGAGCAACACGCTTCGTCTGTTTCTATGACCCAACATTCCTTGATATCTTAAACCAAAATGTTATATACAATTTTATCGACTTTAGGTTGAACGAATTGCCTGATTTGCGACACTAAGTCCAACTTCAGGTACCTAGGAGTCAGTACAGTAGCTTTGTCTTATTAGCATAATCCGATATTTACCTGTTTTAATTTGAACACCTCAATGTTTCGGATGTGATAAACACTTCGGAGAGTATCAGGATTGTACGGAGGGAATTCATGGTGACCTTTAAAAACACAGAGATAAGCATTCTTCGTCAACATTACAAGAAGCGCAACTTTGTTTATTCAGTGAGTGGCAGTGGAACATATTTGATCTATTTGTCACCTTGTCTGTAGTCGCGTGACTTGAAGATTCCTGATATTCCGCCGATTCGAATCCCTCTGAAGCGAATGACACCAGCATAACCTGTGGACACAGAACTAAGGGAATGAAAGAGTGCATTTCAATTTGACAATTGTCAGCTGGTTTTTACAAGCCCTTTCTTTTTGGAAACAGGATTAAAAGCCAGTGTTGTTGATTAAAAATAACAACTATTTTTGTATGAGGAGAATATACATGTTTGTTTTTGTGCAGGATTTTACCTAAATAATAAATGTTTGGTGCCACCCAGCCTCCATACGCAAGCTCTTGCAGGTGGTTGGAAGCCTCATGATTTCCTCCAATGAAGACTGTCAGAATGGGAGCCTTCTTCTCTCCAGAGTAGTACCTACAACAGCGAGTACAACGTCAATGTCATGATCCATGGAACTTTTCACAAACTGAACAAAAATAAAGTAAAGAACTGACTTGTAAAACGACTGCATGGATCTGTACTTTGGAGGAACAGCCATGCATTTCATGTCTCCCTCATTCCTCACTGCCTGGAAATCTCCGCAGCAGAGGAGCAGGTCTACCTTCACGCCTTCCTTCTTCTCCAGATAGTCAATCGTCTCATAGATCTTGTCCAGCTCTCCATGGCAGCAGCCCTCCACAGCAATCTTCATGCTGCCTGAAAGGGAGTCCTGAAAATCCACAAACACAGTTGTTGCTTCTACATAAACATGTACAGTAACTGATCCAAATTATGCCTTATTTGTTTATAACCTCGCGATTAAGATGGAAAAGTTTCAACACTCACGAGCAGTGTAAACGTTTTATGAATAAAGTCAACCATAGAAATTAAATTAATTTTGTTGTGAAACTTAAATATATTTAGCTAACATTTTGTTTTTACAAAGGTAAACGTAAAAAAAAAATAGATAAAAAAATAGATAACTGTACAACCAAAAATGAAATTACTAAACTTTTACAAACCTTTTAAAGATAAAATATTTGCTGAAATTTTCAGGAGTTTAGCTATCAATTATACTGATTACTGTCTCTTAGATCAGGGCCTCAACTCACACCTAAATTTAATGCTTTTTGTCACATCAAATTACAAATATTTTATTAATACAAACCAATTTTATACCAATGTAGGATTAGATTTATTGAGCAAAATGGCTGAGTGTATATATATGTAAATACTTGCTTGGGTAATTTCAGCAGTGGTTGTTATCTAAATTTCTATTTGGCTATGTTCTATGCATCAGCAAGCTCTTCCAACCACATACAGTATGTGCTTAACGTTGGGACGAAAATAGGATTTCCCAGAAGCTTAAAATGCCTGGCAACACAGCATCTCCAAGACGAAACATGTTAAAAAACTTCCTCTCGGATGTGGTGAAACAAACATCTTGTAGAAACCAATACAGTCAAAATTTAGATAATGTATAATGCGAGATATCCTCCTAGGTCCACTTCTTTTCATTCTTATTTGGTTGTACAAGACGTATTGCAAATATACCTATTATGATGTTTTACGAATATAAGTTTAGAATGTATTGGGTTTTTAAGATTTGATATGGTTTCATAATTATATTTACCTTTTGCCTCCATATATTAATCAAATTACTAGCATTTATCTTCCGCCACTTTGTATTTTAATGTATTACCTTACTCGTAGTTAATGTCAAATATATCCTCGGTTGTTTGGGAGAAACCCTGCTCGAATGTGTTTTAATACGTAAAACGTGTTATTCGCTCCAGGTCAAAGTTACAACTGTGTAAAAAAAACCCATGCAACAGAAATTTAGCCATTTTCAATCGTTCACCCCCGCTTTAATCGCCATTTTCGACAACAAATTCGTAAAGTGAACAAAACTCAACGCAACATGTCATAGCAATGCTAGGCTAACACATTGAGCACAGTAAAGCGAGTTATCCAAAAACACGACAAAAATAAGCTAGAATGCTAACCCAATTTCTGGATAATAACTTACAAGGCACAGGACGAACTGAGAAGTCGGGTATTTCACTTCCACCAGCCGTTAAGTCACAAACCGATTCTGAAAAACATCTTTAAGGGTAAAGAATCTTCACACAAACAGACTGAATTTTCCCACCGTGCCGCTGCCAGACTCTGCGCATGCGCAGTGTCGTAAACGCAACTACGATTTTAAGCGGAAGAATAAATACAAAGATGTACATATCGTTGATTAAAATATTTGATTGTACAAAACCCAATCCAAATTATAAGTCGGCTCACATTATACTAACATTTATTATCACGTCCCAAAAATAAAATACTGTACAAACATCAAATAATATTTGAGTGTATCAATGTGAAGTATCAAAGTTATAACAAAGTATATAAAAAAAATAAATATTAAAGAGTTTTACCCCACCTTTTTTACTTTAAATGTATGAACTGTTTTTCAGAGATATGTTGATTTAAATGATAAGCTTTAATATTTAAACACTCAACTCCTGAACCAGGGAATTACAACATCGAACACCACTGTACACGAACACACTATCGTGGCCTATTGCAAGTGACTACGGGACAATTCTATGTGACCTGTACATTTAAATAACTGTTACATTCATTTGTTCATCACATTTTTCAGCAATTGGTACATTTCAGCAAATTGCTTGGGTTAATAGGAAGTAAAGACCAAAGGCACGCGTAATTGAAAAATGACATCAGACACATATTTTAGATAAAAGACTGACATCATATAATGACTTAATCTATAAAAAGTTTCTGTTCCACAACTGAATGAGTTGTTTCTATATTTAAAGACCCATCTGTGATTGGTGTAGTGGGTTATTTCGTCCCTGACTTCGTCACATTTAGTTGACATATCCTGTTTCTAACTGTGGTAGAGTAATCTCTGGTATTGTTATAATTATCATGGGGACCTACTGTTGCAGCTGTTATCCTTTTAAAACACCCGCTACGACGCCAGCCTCGTGACTAACCACAAGTACTCCGCGTTAGCTAGCAGCGGCTGGTCTGGAGGGGGCGGAGAGTCTGCGAGGAGCTGCGCCGAAGGGCGCACGATCGTTGGAAGAGAGATGGCGTGCTTGTTGGAGGCCCCTCTCCGCATTAGCGTGCTGTCCGTGAGTGTCCCCCTGCATTTCGTGGTTTGTTAAGTGGCAAATTTGATAACTGTAATGAATTGAGCTATGGTGGTTTGTTTGCTGCTGTTAACCTACGATGCTAAGTTTCAAAAACAGCAATTTGCAACATGTAGCAAGAGCAAAACCTCGGGTGGCGCGCATACGCAAGCTGCGCGTAGTGTTCTAGTTTTGTGTACCAAGGTTGCCCACAAGGGCGGGAACCTTTTCAGCCAACTCGCGAGTACGGTGAGCACAATTCTTTATGCCTGCCCGCCGCGACGTTCTGTAAGGGGGAGCAAATCAAACAACACAAATAGCTGTCAGTGTCAGTAGGAATGAGTTAGCAGCTAACTGATAGCACACATGACAGGGTTGCTGTCACAGCTGATTGTGCAGATATTACCCGACATGCATTTGAATAATGTATACATTGAAGCTAAACATTTGCACCACTCATAATTATTCCTAAACATAAAATATATAGAAACGAGCTCGTTAAACAGAGTAGCAACTATGCTAGTTAGCATTCGCTAACACTAGCTCAGTGAGGCTATCACTATTTAGTAAGTTACCCTTATTAATGACTTTTGACTGAAAGTACATTTATAGCAGTCGGAAGTAATATTTAGAGGTATAAAAAGGTGTAATCATGCAATAAATGAACATGAACAAATAAGCTACTAAAATATATTCTGTATGACATTTAAAGCGTTGTGCATTTCTGGTGGATACCTAAAATGATAGCTTTATCTGCTCAATTTAGGCTTTTCCTATAATTAATTAAACGGCAATAATAATAAAAACTGTACCCGATGCTGCACATTAATAATTTAAAAAATAGTCAAATGCAGTAAAAGTTAAAATAATTAAAAACAGGCATAGTAGGTTTAATTTAGAAATTAAAAAAAAACTGTACTCGATGCTGCACATTAATAATTAAAAAATAGTCAAATACAGTAAAAGTTAAAATAATTAAAAACTGGCATAGTAGGTTTAATTTAGAAATTAAACCTACTATGTTTTGAGTCTTGTTCTTTTGCAATGTACATTTGATAACTATACAATTCTAAACAACATTTTTACAAGTTTTCTCTTGCCATTTCTTGGATAATTTGGAACCCCCCCCCCACATCTATGAGGTCTTTTTTTTAAATAATTTTTGAAATTGAACTACATTGAGAGCATATTTCATTCAATTAAGTTAATGATTTTTATTGGACATGGGAATTAAAATTTTTGAGATTGTATTTATTGGTGAAGATAAACCATTACATCCTCCTAATAGTAGCTGACAAGGTCAGACAAGCTTAATAAATGTACAGAAAGTGTTTAACCATTGATTGTTGCGAACCAGAAACTAGTGGTATCACTGTGTTGTCAGCAGACTGAGGTTTGTGCCCGTTGAGTCATGTGGAAGGTTCTGGTTAAAGCTAGCACAGAGGTAAACAGAGCCCTCTGAGGTCACTTGCAGCCATGCTGGTGCACACAAAGTACAGGTTTTAAAAGTTTGAGGTAGAACAAAGGCAGAGGCAGTTCAGTCAAATTTAACTTTTTTTGCTTTCACATTAAATAACTGATGAAAATTGGAGAAAATATAAAATTCATTACATATCGATCTTGCGTTTTTCTTATTGAAAAATTGCTATTTTGAAGCTACCTTTTAGCTGTGTTTCCATTAACTTGAGTTCCCAGCTTAATTGGCCTACTTTTAGCTATTTTGGGGTATTTTGTTTTAAACAGTTATTTATTTTTACGTTTCTTTACTATACTTTTATGTTTAATGCAGGAAGTCACTGCCACCAGTCGCCATTATGTGGACCGATTGTTTGACCCGGACCCACAGAAAGTTGTACAAGGAGTCATGTAAGTCCCACAATCTCATGCATAACTTGAGTCCTGGTATGGGATAATTATCAACACCTGACATTGAATATTGTTTTACTTTCTAGTGTGAAATGTTGCTGTACTTGTGTGAATTGTGAACTCGTTGTTATTACTCTTAATTTCTCCGTGCTTGTCTCACTTTCGCTGCGTTTCTCAATTGCTTTGACGTGAACGTTGTGAATTATTTTTAACTGGAAAGACTAGAGACTAGCTCTGGTTACGGCAGCATACTGCAAGCTCCAGGAGCGAAACATCTGACTGATTTCTTGAGCGCCAGCTACTGCAGCTGCACTTTTTAACACTCACCTGCCATTTCACATCATCTGGGCCAGTAGCAGACAAGGAGGGAATTAAACCTAACGTACAGCAGAACACACAGTCGTGTGTGCATATCTACAGGAATACGTAGCTCACGGCGTTGTCAGTTGGCCACAGACCTGATCAAAACAAGAACACAAGAAGCATTGTTATTGACTAACCTTTGATGTACTTAATGTTTAAACAGATTTAGAGTGTGAAGCCAACATTTAAAATACTTGACGAGGAAGAACATCTGATCTGTGCGCTCTATTTTTTTTTTTTTCCCATTGGTTTTATAGTGACATGAAGAATGCTGTCATTGGAAACAACAAGCAGAAGGCCAATCTTATCGTTCTTGGAGCTGTGCCAAGGTACATCACTGTAAAACCTTCCTTCTGCTCTCAACACGCACTTATCATTTTCAAATCACGTCACGCTAAAACTGACACTGGTTTTTTTTTTCTGTCGATCCCTGTACAGTGAGAAAAACTTTGTACTTGCTCATACTGCAGCTCCTGTCATTTCCACTGTAGCATCTCGTGATTATGTTCACCTGTGGAGAAGTTGCAGTTATATCCAGATTGTATGTGTTATTTTTTTGTGTGTCTCTCCAGATTACTGTACCTGCTCCAACAGCGCACCTCCAGTCTTGAGCTGAGGACGGAGTGTGCAGTGGTGCTGGGAAGTCTCGCCATGGGCACCGAGAACAATATCAAGTCCCTTGTGGACTGTCACATCATCCCCGCTCTTCTTCAAGGTTGGAAAACGCCACTCTCTTCGACGTAGCAGCGACGACCTTTACCTTAGGACGCAGTTCTAAATGGCACTTGTGTTTTGTTCCTGCAGGACTTTTGTGTCCAGACCTAGTCTTTATTGAAGCCTGTCTACGATGCCTGAGGACAGTTTTCATTAGTCCAGTAACTCCTGTGCAGCTGCTCTACACTGTAGGTTCAAAAGTTGATGGTAAAACATGGCTGCCGACTCGAGATTTATTGTCTATTGTGCATACACAAACAGATTTTTGAAATTTGGAAGTTCTCAGCTTTAAAAAAACCCACTATAAATGTGAGAATGCATACAAAGGAAGTCACAAGTTTCTAAGGCGAATTGGAAAAAATTTTTTTTTTCATGTTTGCTGTAATTATTTTTAATGGTTGAGAAGCCTAATGAATATTACTTAAATAATTTCCCATACTAATAATTCCATAATTTGGATTAATCACCAATTAAAACAGGTGTACATATGTACATAAACATAAAAAGTATTTTTTAAATAAATGGATGAATCTGCTTTTATCATAAATTATCATGCTTACCCTGTGATTTATCTGTCCTAATTCTATCGTACACCCGTGTTTGAAGGACCCCACTGTGATTCCTCATCTAATGTCCCTACTGAGCCACTCACAGAGGACCCAGGAGTACATCACACAGATCTTCTCTCACTGTTGTAAGGTATTTGTTGATTATTTAATGCATTGACTAATCATTTCAAATTGCACCGGGAGTCGTCGTTGACCGTGTCTCCATGCCCTCAGACGCCCGAGCACCAGACGGTCCTGTTCAACCACGGTGCCGTGCAGAACATTGCCCCTCTGCTGATATCTCCCTTTTATAAGGTACGAGTTTGACTGTTCAGTCTTTACCCAAAATAACGAGGTTAAAACCTTGAAGGTTACGTCAACACCACTTATATCAGTACAGTGGAACCTTGAGATACGAGCATAATCCGTTTCAGGACCGAGCTCGTAACTCGAGGTGCTCGTATCTGGAATCTCGAGACATACACACAAAAAAATTATAGTATATAAAGATTCCTGTGATATAAAATAAAATTAGTTTTAATTATGAGTTCTTACCTTGAGACAGACGATACCGTAGCGGCTAATGGCGGCATCTGTGGCGGAGGAAGGAAGGGAGGGAATCAAATCTTTACTCGTATATCGAAGCAAAAACTCACTCGAATGCTTGCTCGTATCTCGAAATACTCGTATGCCGAGGTGCTTGTGTCTCGAGGTTCCACTGTATAAGAAGAAAATATTCAACATGTTTTTATTATCATATAATAATCATAGAAGTGCCCCCCCACATTAAGAAGAATTTTTTTTTTTTTTTGTCCAGGTCCGGATGCAGGCGCTAAAGTGTTTCTCAGTCTTGGCCTATGAGAACACCCAAGTCTCAATGACACTGATGAATGGTGAAGAGAGTGTTCTTTTCCCCCCTGTTTTTTCGAAACCTCGATCCCGAGCGTTTTCTGCAATTTCATTCATTAGTCGTTTCTGTTTTGTCAGTGCTGGTGGACGGAGAACGCCTCGCTCAGGTATTTGTTAAAATGATGCAAAGGGATCAACCCATAGAAATGCAGCTAACAGCAGCCAAATGGTTAGTAACAAAAGCCCCGGTAGGTCCTGCATGAGCGTTATTGCACGTTGTTTTTGTGTCAGAGTTGACCCTTTGTTGTCTTTGTGTTTAACAGTTTAACGTACATGTGTCGAGCAGGTGCCATCGGAACGGACGACAACTGCATCGTCTTAAAGGTCAAGGGCTTTTGTGCCACACGTCTGCACTTTTTAAATATATAGATCCATTAGATAGATACAAAAAATAAACATTTAAAATATAACATTTACCTTAAGCATTACTTTATGTTTTAAAACAGACTTTGCCGTGTCTGGTGCGGATGTGCAGTAAAGAGCACCTGTTGGAGGAGCGAGTGGAAGGAGCAGAAACGTTAGCTTACCTGATGGAGCCTGACGTGGAGCTGCAGAGAATCGCCAGCACCACCGATCACCTCGTGGCCACGTTGGCCGACTACTTCAAATACCCCAGCTCTGTGTCTGCCATCACTGACATCAAGAGGGTGGGTCCCTTTTCACGGGCATTCCACCGACGTGGAACCACAGATGGATTTTTAACTTTTGAATACTTTTCTCACTTGCAGCTGGATCATGACCTGAAACACGCGCACGAGTTGAGACAAGCTGCGTTCAAACTTTACGCGTCTTTAGGCTCGAATGACGAGGACATTAGAAAAAAGGTAAGTTGGAACTCCGTATGAAGTTTTTAACTGTACGCGTAAACCTTCGCTAACGGCTACCTTTCTCCAGATTACGGAGACAGAAAACATGATGGACAGGATAGTCAGCGGTCTTTCAGAATCGAGCATTAAAGTCCGATTAGCAGCCGTCAGGTACTATAAAATGCTGAATAAGTTAATCTATTAAATTCTACCAAAAACGTAGTGTGTAATTTTGTTATTATTTTTTTTTTTTGCCCAGATGTCTTCACAGTCTGTCACGGTCTGTCCAGCAGCTACGGACCAGCTTTCACGACCATGCAGTGTGGAAGCCCTTGATGAAGGTCAACAGTTTGACGCCCAGACAGATTTAAAAGAAAATTCTATAAGAATATAAAAAAAATATGTGAAGAAATGATTAAATATGGCCTTGATTTTTTTTTCTGTACACAGCTTTTACAGAATGCTCCAGATGAAGTCCTGATCATGGCTTCTTCTACAATATGCAATCTACTGCTGGAGTTTTCACCCAGCAAAGAGGTACACGGATACTGCACTCAGCTCAATCTGCTGGACACATGACGTATCCCACTCACCCAGCAAAGAGGTACATGAATACTGCAGAATACTCAGAACAATCTGCTGGACACATGACGTATCCCAACTGACTGACATAAAAAAAAACTCTTTGTTTTTTTTTCATCTGCAGCCCATCCTTGAGTCAGGGGTGATTGAGTTACTCTGCAGTTTAACCAAGAGTGACAGTCCAGCACTGAGAGTCAATGGGATCTGGGCTCTGATGGTAAGATCAGCATGGTTCACGTAGTCTGGAACCAGACCAGGAAAGAAACTAAAAGTTTAATTTTAAAAACTTAAACGATCCATCTGTTTAGAACATGGCGTTTCAGGCGGATCAGAAGATAAAGATGGAGATTGTACGTTGTCTTGGTACAGAACAGTTGTTCCGTCTGCTCTCGGACCCTGACAACAATGTCCTAATGAAGACCTTGGGATTACTGCGTAATCTGCTTTCTACACGACCGGTAAGAAACACAGTTTGGCGGCCGGAATACAAAGCTGAAAGCCAAAGCTTAGTTTGCCTTTCAGGGCAAAGTCCCCTTAACCTGGACACTGCATTATTAAACTCACGTCATTACGTTTGAAGAAATTGCTGTATTATCCAAACTATAAGTCGCTCCAGAGTAGAAGTCGCACCAGTGCCCTCTAGCGGCTGTCTGTGAGGAAAATATCGAACATGGAAATATTCAGTGGTACAGGAGTAGCAGATACTGGTACACAAGCCTATGGTGCCCTCTAGCGGCTGCCAGTGTGAAGATAACAAAGGTGAAATTATATATTTTATTATATTATATACTGCAAGCTACACCAGAGTAAGTCGCAAACCCAGCCAAAGGATGAAAAAAAAAAAGTGGAAAATACGGTAAATTCCAATCAAACCTGAAAAAGAAATGGCAGCAGCAGCAGCAGCGGGACACCTGAACATCTTTCTCTTTCATTTTCAGCACATCGACCAGATCATGAGTTCTCACGGGAAGCAGATCATGCAGGCGGTCACGCTCATCCTGGAATCAGAGCATAGTATAGAGGTGAAGGAACAGGTGAGGTGTTTTTTTCCTTCACACCACTCAGTTCTGTCTATTCTTATCCTTTAGCATTGAGTCGCTAAGTGCTGCTGAGACACTGACCATTTGACCTTTGCTCCTTTTTTTTACATCAGACACTTTGTATTCTTGCCAACATCGCTGATGGAAACACGGCTAAAGAACTCCTCATGACCAATGACGACATGCTGCAGAAAGTCAAGTATTACCTGGTAAAAAGCACCTTCTTGGAGCAGCTGCTGTTAGCCTGTCCCATGAGACAACTGTTGTTGTTGTTGTTGTTATTGTTTATCTGGTTGGATGTGTAACCGGTAGAGATTTCTAATACTTCTCAGGGTCACTCAAATGTGAAGCTGCAGCTCGCCGCCACTTACTGCATCTCCAACCTGATCTGGAATGAAGAAGACGGTGAGGCAAAAAAAAAAAAACAGAAGCAGAGAAAGATTCTGCTGAAATGTTAAAGATTTATTTCATAATTTAAATCCAAATTAAAAAAAACCTGGTTTGACCTAGACGTCCATCGAAAGTTCAGTGCAGCCTGAAGGCATTTAAAAATAGATGGATCGATGGATGGGACGGGGGGGGGGACGGGGGACGTTTCTTTTGGCTCAACTGCTTTTATCCTTGTGCAGGTTCTCAGGAGCGTCAGGACAAGCTGAGGGAGATGGGCTTCGTGGACATCCTGCACAAACTAACACAGTCCTCTGACCCCAGCCTCTGTGACCGGTAAGACTGCCTCCAAACAACACCTCAACAAACACAGTCTGTGGTGACTGTGCTGTTTGTAAAATGTGCCGAGAACAAATATCGGAAGATTCCAGCCCTGGAGTAATGGACATGCTTTCCGTCTTCTCCATCAAAGTCCATAGAGACATTTATACATTTTACAACAATACTCTAAAGGACTTGAGCCAATGCTATTTTGACCTGTAAGGTTAAATGTGTCATTCCGACATACCTCTGAATCAGCAAAAAATCTCTTAACACTGGTGTGTCAAACATACAGCCCACAGGCCAAAACCGGCCCACTTGGTGTTTTCAATCCGGCCCACTCAATGAATTTTGAAAAATACACAAAACCTTCATGTTCAGGGAATGGTTTGGAAAGTTATACTTCACTATGACAATCTGAAGATTTATCTCATTTATTTTTGTAGGAAAACAAAGGTCATGGATTTCAGCTTCTTAATTCTTTCCCAGTACTCCATGCTGATTTTCGGCCATAGGATGTTGTCCTCGTCGACCACACTTTTACGAACAGTCTTTTACATTCGGAGTTACCTTCTAACAGTGCTTTTTTTTTTTTTTTTTTCCTCAGGGCGAAGACGGCGATGCAGCAGTACCTAGCGTGACTAGAAGGGCAGACGTTTTGTTCACTGCCAGCCTACTGTACCTGAAAACGCCAGAAGGGGATGCTGTTGGTTAGATTTTTGGATGCACAAACACTTTTTTTTTTTTTTTGGTTGGAATTTTTTTTTTTTTTTTTTGTTGGACCTGCGTCGACCTCTGTTCTCCCCAAACCCGGAACCTCAATGCTTGGCTTGCTGAAAAATACAGCAGGACCTGCGGCTGCTGGGAGGTTTTTCACTTGGTTATTTCCCTCACATCCTTCAGAGACGGAAAAAAAAGGGATTTCTTTTTGTTTGGGTTCTTTTCTTGTGCAGAAAGCAGACTGCAGTGCTGGCGACTACGCCTCCCTGGACCCCTAATCGCTGAGAGGGTTTTCACTTTTGACACAAAGATAATGGATTGTTGGACAACAAAGCTTCCAATGGATTACGCTTTGTATTTTGAACAGATGACGAAAATTAATAACATTTCTTTTAGGCATTGGTAAGGTAGAGTAAGGACACATTTGAAGAGGGAGGGGGAAAAAAAAAGACTGACTATTTTGAAACTTTAAGTTGTTTTTGTGGACACATACCTCAAAAATATATACATATAAATATATAAATATAAACAAAAATCTATCTATTTTTGGAGGTTTATTTTCCTCCTCCCCATGCTGTTTGTTTTCAGTTTTCCTCTCTGATACTCAACTATGAGCACAGATTTGTGTTTGTATCTGACTGAACTTGATTGGTAAATTATAGAAAGAAAATGTAATGCCCTCTTCACTTCCGTAGGCGTTTTATTTCTCCCTACTTTTGTTTGTCTTTGTGCATCACTTGGTTGTTCCATCCTGAACATGGAAGAACCGGAGCGACTGGAGTTTGAGGCTGACGTGTAATCCTCAGCTCAAAAGACTCTTAGGATGATTAATTCAATTCCTTACAAAACAGGTTCCTTTTCCAAAACAAAATCAAATTAATTTTCTCATCTGTGGAGGAGATCATTTTATGCAGTCCAGCATAACGGAAGAAACCACCATCCGTTTTACATGCTAATGCAGAACATGAGATCTTCTTGATGAACTAATGAGAACTAATGCAGAAAAGTTTTTTTTTTTTTGTAGGCGCAGATAAAATAGGATTTTTTTTTTTGTTATCCACTGTGTTTCTCAAAGGTAAGTATTCTGAGATCCTCGGTTAAAGTCCGCTGTTCAGTGTAAAGACCATTCCACTGTTCTTCACCGCCTCACCACCAGTAACCTAACGGTGTAACACAGTGATGAAAATCATTTGCACATAAAAGTTCAAAGTGCACTGTTGTCAAAAATGCAAGGATAATCATTTACAACATTTTTTTTTTTTAAACAACGATGAAGTACCCGGACTTGAAACCGCCAACTATGTCATGACATTATTATGATTTAAATCCCATCCAGAAATACAGATCCCAATAGGTGAGGCTCACTGACTTGTCACTACACAAAACATAGATGTGAGGATTATTCATGTCTATTTTTAATCGGAATAAATGTATTTTCTTAAACATTTGGCCTTGTTGTTTTTAAAAAGTGGGGGGAAAACTGACACCTGGCGGGTAAAACCATAAAGTGCATCAATACAGTGGTGACGAAAACGGTTCCCTGAACGCCTCACGTTAACTCCAAGCTATTTCAAAACCACAATGAAGCTCTGATGAAATGAATGTCGCTGTTGAAAATATACGCAAACCTGAAGAAGGCTTTTGTCTGTGTCACGTTTTCTTTTTGTATCTCTTCATACGCTCTCTCAATCATATACAGTTACGCCTATACGCTCCGCTTGTCGTAGTTCATCTTGTTCAAGTTACAAACTGTTGAACTTTTTTGAGATTTAAAAGAAAAGAAAAAAAAAATTTAACAACACAAAGGACAAAGTATTGCGCTAGGTGGCGACACTGTCCACACCGCTAACCTGCTAGTTCCCGTGTGCATTGTGTTAGCCCCAATATGTCGGAATACAAGAACAAGACTTGAGAGATGGCAACATAACCTTGAAACGTCGGTTTCGTAGGTCGAGGACGGAATAAACGGAGGGTCTCCTGTACTGCAAAAATGTCCGTAAACCTTTGGGTCCTGTTGCAGAAACAAAAACACCATCGTAAAACGTTCGTAATCGTAAAGATCGGATTTCAAAATGGTTTACCTCATCCCAACATAGGAGTATGTACACATGTTACCGCAAACCTGGCTCACGTTAATGTCGCTCCATGAGTCTGAAATATTAGAAAAGAACACTTCTTTATTATTGTACAGTAGATCATTCTGGTAAATCTTCAGAATTGTAACAGTAGTCGTTTTAGTAAAATACATCTGAACCCCCGCTGCCACAAACAGGAAAGTTTGCCCTCTACAGTTCAAAAGCAGGCACATTCCTCATGCAAAAAGATTCCGTCACATGCAGTTCACTTAAATGTTGTTTTTTTTTTCTCTTTTAATTGGAAGACTAGGCTTTTTTTTTTTTTAGGTGGGCGTATTTCTTCCAGCTGAAAAGGTATCGCTACTAAGGATTTTTGTTGGAGGGCGAGAGTAGACGTTCTGTTTGAAAGAGGAAGTCAGGAAAGGAGGTTGGAAGCATCAGTGAGCCACCAGAGGGCAGAAGGTCTGGAGCAAAAACAAGCGCTTCTCAACACATACGCATAGGGAAAAAAAAGCTACTTTTTGTTGATCACGATGTAGTGATCACTAGGTATTCAAACGATAAGTGGTTCTTAAAGATAAAGCAGGCAAATTGAAATGTTCGGGGTGATTGACAGCGTTTAGCATCCAATTGAAACGTCGTTGCAGGCAGCTGTAACTATCTGATTAGGAAAAAAAAACAAACAAAAAAAAACAGCATGGCTTAGATTCCAAATCTAGCAAATTCTTAAGTATTCTTTTAACAACTGGAAGAATATTTCCAATTTTTATTTTTGGTCTATGTTTGTAACCCCCCCCGTACACCCCCCCACCCCCCCCCCCACTT